AAACTGAAAAAGAATTGGGAGGCCAGAAGCTAAAGAAACATAAAATCATGTTTAAATACTAGCTATGGCTTTCCAAGTTGCAATGTATGACTGTGAAAATTAAACCATAAGGAAGGCTGAATGCCAAAGAATTGAGGCCTTTGAATAGTTGTGCTGGAGAAGACTCCTGCGCCTCCCTTGGACTGCGAGGAGATCAAACCAGTCAGTCCTAGAGGAGATCAACCCTGACTGCTCTGTAGAAGGCCAGATACTGAAGATGAAACTCAAATACTTTGGCCACCAAATGGGAAGGAAGGACTCACTGGAGAAAAGCCTAATGCTGGGAACAATTTAGGACAATGAAGAAGGGGACGGCAGAGGATGAGGTGGCTGGATGGAGTCCCTGAAGCAGTCGGCGTGAGCTTAAGTGTACTCCAGGGAATGGTGAAGGACAGGAAGACCTGGAGGAGTGTTGTCCATGGGTTGCAACGGGTTGAACACAACTTCGCAACTAGCAAGCAAGTAAACCACTGATAGTCTTAACTTCCATGAATTTGTTTAATCCCCCTTAAAGGCGTCCAAATTGGTGGCTAACATTACAACTTGCAATGGTACATTTCATAATTTCACTGTGCATTGTATGAAGGACTTCCATTTATCTCTATTGGATCTCCCAATTATCAACCCAAGGTTATAGTATTTTGAGAGATGGGGAAACAGAACTGGTGGTTTCTCTTCAGACTCATAATGCATTTGTGGAAGTGGCTAATTCTGCCAGAATAGAAGTATACAAATGTTCAAAAATAATTCAGTTTGGTAGAGATGTGAACTTGCACAAAATCAGACACTTTTCAGAATGGATCAGCCCCTCATCATAGAATCATGATTATCTGGAGTTGATTTTGGTGCATTGAAGCAGGACATTTAATTACGTAATAGGTTTCTTTAGTCACAGTAGGCTTAAGCAGTTACAAAAGAAATAAGTGCTTCAAATGGTGTTCATTGCACAGTAAGTTTAACTAAAATATTTGCTTAAAGTGACTATTGTTTAATTCTGCCTCTTCAGAAAATGATTTCATGACAGAGGCTCACTTTAGATAAAGGCATGAAGATTGCTCCCAACCCAAAAGTAAATGGTAAAGCCGTGTTATATATCTGTTGACATAACGCTTGGCAAAGTCCTGGCCTTTGAAATGTTTAAAAAGTGTGTGTGTGTGTGTGTGTGTGTGTGTGTGTATGGGGGCAGGAGGGAGGGAGAGAGAGAGAGAGAGAGTGAGAGATTGTTAAACATTCTTAAATGAAATTGCTTAATGTAATTGGCACGGTCAATAGAAGATCCTTTGGCTACAGTTCATAACTCATTATTTTATACAGGGCTGCTTCAACCAGAAGGCAGCCATGTTTCTCCTAGATGATCCTTCAAATGGGGAAGAGCCTCCACAGCTGCTTCTGCGGTCACATCACCCCAGCCTCTACTCAAAACAAAGATGAAAGCCACTATTGGGAGCAGTAGTGGGTATGTAGAATGCAGACCCAAAGGAAAGACAAGACATCTGGAGTAGTAAGTCAGATCCAAGTATCAAATTGAAAGGATAGGTGATAAAATAATTCATGGATCTTACCAGTTTGAAATGCCAGTGTTTGTGATGGTGGTTTGAAACAAAAGAGAGAAAGACTACAGAAAGCTTTGTTGTACTAACTATTGAATGCTGTATAGTTGAGCCTATTGAACTAGGAATTGTGCTGAGCAATTTTAGACAATACTAAAAGTATATATTTTATAATTTATAAAATATAATAGACACACACACACACACACACACACACACACATATATGTTGTTGTTAGTTGCGAAGTCATGTCTGACCCATCGTGACCCCGTGGACAACGTTTCTCCAGGCCTTCCTGTCCTCCACCATCTCTCAGAGTCCACTCAAGCTCACGCCGGCTTCTTTAGTGACTCCATCTAGCCACCACATTCTCTGCCATGCCCTCCTTCTTTTGCCATCTATTGTTCCCAGCATTAGACTCTTCTCCAGGGAGTCCTTCCTTCTCATTAGGTGGCCAAAGTATTTGAGTTTCATCTTCAGTATCTGCCCTTCTAAAGAGCAGTATAAATACAAATATGTAACTCGTTCTCTCTGCACCCCCCCCCATATATAGTTACAGTATATAATGCATTTTTAAAAATTACTTCTTGGGAAGAAGGTTCTATTTATGCTGGCAGTTTTCATTGGTTCTCCAATGGAAGATTCACTGCCTCTTTCACTACCACTAGCACTCAGAGCAGTGCATCATAAGTCTCTTGATGTGCCATAAATTGGCAGTGTTTTCTTGGCAGGGAAAGTGGAGCCACTCCACTGGAATGAAAAAGGCAGTATGCGGACTCTACATGAAGGTGTGAGGGAATTAATGTTGCAAGCAAGGGCACTTATGAATTAAAATGATTAAAATAAGACAAGCCTACAAAAAGCTAAATAAAGCCTTCAAATACACAGATAAATCTTTTCCCCCTGCTCCTTGGAACTACCAGTGGTGGTTTCTGAGCACCTAGGAGATCCCAGTACAGTGATGCTGGGTTGAGTTTAGCTTGCTGGGTCATGTATGCAGTGCTGCTGTAAAGCAGGCAAGAGTGAAGTTATATCATGGGGAAGGCCAGGGAGAATAAGGCCTGATGTGGCAAGGGCATGATTATGCTTATCTTCCAAAGTTAGCATAACTTATTTAAAATCCAGGTACAGCCTGAAGCCTTTAAAATTATGCATTCATTTGTTAAACTTTTCTTAACTCAGAACTACCAAATATCTCACATGTTCAGAAAAGCAGTATTTCCATTTGCCTCATTAAAGCATAGGTGGGTTGACAGTGCCCTTTCCCCCTATTGTTCTCACCACTGCATTCAGGGCAGCTTGCTTTCAATCAGTTTGGACTAACCTTACCCAGCAGCTGTTCAGGAAAATATGGAAGGGGCTGCCTTGCCACTGTCTGCTCATTTAACAGCTGAGCAGCAGAAATCCTGCTGTCACTCACAACTGGATATGGTCCATTCTCCTATTGATTAGATGATGCAAGACCCCCACCCCGGGCATTCATGAGACCAAATTCCCATGACACCCACCTGAGAATTGCTGTAGGAAAGCTTTGCAAAGCATGACTATTCCAAGGAAATATGGTCAGGAATCAGATCAGTGATTGCCTTTCAATGAAATCCTGTATCCCTATCAACTCTGGGGTAAGTCCCTTTGAACTCAGTGTGATTTACTTCTGAATAGACACAGATAGGACTGCAATGTTAGCTCTCCCTTTCTGTGTGTGTTGTTATCATTACATCACATTTATAGCCTGCCTTTCCTCATCTTGCAAATAACCCAGGGCAGCTTACAATTTTCTTCTCTCCATTTGTCCTCATTACAACACCCTGTGAAGTAGGCCACTCTGAAAGTCTGGGACAGGCCTGAAGTCAGCCGGCATGTTTCAGGGCTGAGTGGGGCTAGAAACCAGATCTTCTGGTTCTCAGTCCGGGGCTCAGTCCACTCTGCCACACTGGCCACATGATCCCTAATTTATAAATACATTGTATGGGGAAGGCACCTTTTTCAGACAGACATTATTGAATTCTAGATAGGGTTTATCTATGATACAGAATGATAGAATTCACGTATGTTCATTCCCAGTAATCATTGCCAAGCTTTACGTATCAAGTTGCAAATTTCTAAATTCATAGGAACACATAGGGATGTCCCGCGCTGTTGCTTTACAGATATGTCTAAATATATTTTGGCAATTTTGGTAGCCAGCTCTGAAAATGTTTAGATGTTGAACCGTTAATCCCATAATGTCTGCTCAGAAGTAAGTCTCATTCATTCAATGGGACTTAAACTTAAGTGGAGAAAAGGTTTCAGTCAATCTAATGTTAGTTCTACTTACAGTGGACCTACTGAAATTTATTACATTAAATTATTCATTACATTTATGTACTGCCCCATAGCCCATAGGCTATGGGAATTAATGTGGGATACAATACTACAATTCTATTTACAGTCCTTGCACAGATTTCTCTGAGCTAAATGAGGGCTACTTTCAAGGATACATACATATTGTTGCACTGATAAACTGGCAATGTATCCCTTTCACTTTATGGAGCATACAGGAAGCAATATCGTTATAAAACTGGTTTATTTCTTAAAAATAAATACAAAAATATAAATATAAAACATTGGCAGATAGAATCTGATGAAATGAAGTTGCACAAAGTTTGTTGTTCTTTGTGGATTTTAAGCCAGCTGCATATCACATTAACACCACGTGTACATTTCCAGGGCTTTTATTTCTAAATGTACAGAAAAGGGACACTGCTTTCTTTCTGTCTTTTTTCTTTCTTTCACTCTTGAGCTATGAACCAAGAGAAAGTACACAGTTGTTCTGTGCCTGTATTTGTATTCTTTTGCAGTTCCTGTACCAGTAGCACACCTCATCCCACCCCAAACTAGAGCAGCTGTTGAAATTTTCATTTATACCAAAATTCAGTGCATTTATTGGAAAATCTGATCAGTTTTGAGCACCTGGCTGTTTTTCAGAGGAGTCATTTGTGTAAAGGAAAAGTGGGGAAAAGGCCTCTGTTTGATAGGTATGTAGATACTGGTAAGAGTGCTGTCTCTATGGAATAGCTGAATACTCTATATGGGAGTCCCGGGTGGGCAGTTTCTGAAAAAGAAACACATTTCAAGGACAATGTGGGAGTGCATGTGGAGTGTGCATGCATGGCCCTTTACAGAGTGTGGGCTGGGTCATTTAAAAGCGGCACTTGCCAGTGCTGAACATATGTTTAACAGAAGCTCCTTGTACCTAGGATTGCTCGAGAGATCATAAACCTGCTCAAACAGAGCGCATCCTTTTATTTCATAAAATGGATGACACTGAATTTTGATAGCTTTGGCTTTTGGAAAGGGGTTGAATAAAATGCTGTATATATTTCATGTGACATTCTACAAGAAAGAACAAAGGACATTAATGAGCAAATTCAAAAACAAAACAAAGACGAAGAAGGAGAAGAAAAAACCCATTGTGCGGAGTGGCAGGAGAATGTTCCTGAACATCAAATATTGTCATGTGGAGAAGGTGTCTGTAAAGTTACTTCCTCTCAAATAAACAAAAAATGCATTTTCTACTGTAGGTTAGGAAGCGTCTTTATCACTTTCACCTCCACCATACATCTCGGCAAGCTTATTAAACCGAGGACCCCATTCCTTGAGGTAATCATAGTTTTGGTCCCCCTCAGTAGTGCCAGACTCTAAAGAACTCAGAGATTCGGCTATAGAATCATTTCCTTCATAGGCGTAGGTTGCCAGAGAGTCATATGGTGGTGCAGAGGGGTCATTATCGTGCTCTTTTAACCTTTGGTTAATGAAGTCTCGGACATCTGTATTATCTGGAGCACGAGGAGTCCTCCGTGGTACAAATAATGTTTCTGGTATAATATCTCGGCGGAGCTTTTTATCTTCAATAGCTGCAGGGTTCCTCAGCGTGCCGATATCAAAGGCCTGTGTGTCTTCCTCTCCACCACCTTCATCATTATAACTCACAATGTTGTCTCTGATGTCCTCTTTAGACAAGATCAGAGGCTCTTTCTTTCGCTGCCTCTTTAGAGCAGCAAATAATACCACTATAACTTGGAAAAAAGAAAGAACAGAATTAGCTAAGAGTCACACTTTGCAAACTTGGTTATTGTACACACATAACCTACACCATTTTGCAAGCTCCTTAGCAAATCACAGCAGTATATTAACATTAACAATAAGTAAATGCACTTTTTGCTTTTGCACCTCAATACATGATTTCAGTTAGGTTCTTTTTTGTGATGCTCTTGGATGAACATGGCTTCCTATCCAGCTGATTTAACCAAATATTCTATATGACTACTGAACCATATATATAAATGTATAAACATTGCAATAAATCTACTATGACAACTCCTGCAAGGGGACAAGTCATAACTCTGGCCATAACAGGGTGCCTCAAACAAGCCCCAGCAGCGGCTTTTAAAAACTCTCCATGCAGCACTGAGGTGCCAGGGGAAATCCCATATTCCCATTGAATCGACTGAAATCAGAGCAACTAGGGAGTCCAGAGGTTCCCCAACACCGTCCTAGAAATCACAGTGATAGCATGGCTGCAATGGCCAATGTTTGCTGCTCATCTCCAGCATGGAAAGTACTTGGTATCAGAATGTGCAAGTTTTGCTCAGCTGCATTACGAGCTGTTGATCCCACCCCCACCATGACGTATCCATTTGTAAAGCCATCAAAGGAAGTGACCATCCCCACTTCTTTGCATGGCAGACTTTATGACATAATGATGCATTATATAAAAGTAGTTCCTTTTGTTTGCTTTGATGCTACCAAAAGTATGTTCTGACCAAATGCTGAAAACAACTCACCTAAGCACTGTTTTTTAAACAACTCACCTAAGCACTGTGATGATGAACTAATGCTTCCTTTGCTTGTTTTGCTTCTGAAAGTATGTGTTAATGATTTCAAACTCTGGCAGCTATTTCTTGCCATCTGTACTCCCATACAATTTCTGTTAAATCTACTTATTGAATAAGGAACTATGCTCCATTGGAGGAACGAAGTGACAAATTGAAATTCTGCAGTAACAATACTTTTAAATGTTCCTACTACCCCTATTCGGGGAGTCCTGTTTTCACTTGTTTTCACATTTCCATTGTAGACTGCATTAGAAGGGTACGTATATATGCTAAAACATTCCAGATTTTTATTTGGGATGGTGCATTTCTTTTTAAAGTATTTCAGTGAAAAGAAGAGGGGAAGTAGAAGGAACAGAACATCCCATTCACTCTTTGTGACTTCAGTACATGAACACCTCCATACGCACATTTAATTATACAGTTTTGCAAGACTGTAATTTTCTCTGGTGTAGCAGGTTTTCAGTTCTTTTTTCAGATGTTATTTTACCTAAATGGTTCCTCTCGTAAAAATGAGGTGGTGTAGGAATCATGTGAAGACTTGATGCCCATGAAACATTAGTGCAAATCATTCATGGGAATTTGAGGGAGGCACACTTGATAGTAATGTGATGGAGGGGTATGCATGTGATGGTCTTTTTCAGGGGAGGGTAGAACCAGGAAAGTTGCAGTCTATCAAGGGCCTTCTGTAAAACTGAATTAAGGCCAGTAATGTTCTGGCAAGTTCCAGGAAGAATTGAAAGACATATATACAGTTTCCATGATGATATAAATACCTGACACTCCTGTGGTATTTTTTCACTAGTTCCCCCTGTTACAACTTGTAACCAAATTGTACTGAAGCAAGTTCATTGGCAGCATCTGTATAGGTTAGTTACCAAAATAATATTGCACTATAACTCGATGTCAATGACACATGGCGTCCTGACTCGATCACCTGGATGACATTTGGATTGCAATAGGAAGCAACAGCATCAAAAGGAGCTATGTTTGTAAAAATGAATCAATAAATGAGTACAGAAAGCAACCTGGCAGAATCTAATTGTGTCCAGTGTAGTATCTACTGGGTCATTCCATTTAGCAAGTAGGGGTTCCCCTGCAGCTTACCTAGCAGAATGATGATGCAGAGCAGAATGGCAATGAGTGCCCCTGTGCTGAGTCCTGCTGGAAGGAGTAAGGCTTCAGCGTTGCAGGACTGCATGTTCCCCCGGCTGTCACAAGCACACACCCTGATCGTCAGTGTCCCTGTGCTACTTTGGATGGGGTAGTCGTTGTCTGATATTACCACCGGTAGAAGATAGGTACTTATTTCATGTCGACTAAAGCCATTCCTTCTCGTCAGAATCCGAGCGGTGTTGTCTAGACCAGTCATAAACAATACAAACATTATAAACCAAACTATATATATGCAGTATAAATATAGCATAGAACTTAACTAGAAATTCTACTAAATTACATCTGCAGCTTAATACCTGACAACCACTTTAGGGAGGTTCTGCAACCCCCACCCACAAGTGCACTTTGGGGGTAGGTTGGGAGTAGGTAGATCTCCAGATGGTTTGATCTCCACTTCCAGATGCCCTCACCAGCATGGCCAATGATCAAGAATGCTAGAAACTGATTTCTAAAACATTTGGAAAAGTACTCTTTTCCCAACCTTGACTGAAATGAAGAAGAAAATCCATGGATGAAGTCAGTTTTGGCATTCCTCATTTAAGTAAGCACGGAAGCCCACCAAACATGCAAACCCACCAAACCCTGTCCTGTCTTTCGCCATCTGATTCTGAACAAATCATTTTGTTTCATCAAGGAGCAATTGCATGTCCTATCAATTGCTGGCTGCCAATGTTGTAGTATGTGTAGTACTATGCGGCCACAGTACCTTAAAACTAAGTGCAGGGAAAAGAGCTTAGTTAAACCAGCATAGTGTACCCCTTTCTGGGCCAAATTAAACTGATGACAAAGATCCATGATTAGGTCTCCCATTTCTTTGCACTTGCCAAATAGCAGCCCCAGAATGGTGTTGGTCTAGTTGATTATAAAGCCAGGAGGACTATTTATTATGCCAGTGCTGGGCAACTTATGGTCCTCCAGATATTGGACAGCAACTCCTCAACTATTCATGTTGCTGGTTAGGACTGATAGGATGCACCGTCTAATATCTGACATACCATAAGTTTCCCACCCTGATCTATGCTGACTAAATGCGCCCTTCTTATCTCTGATAATCATAAGCTGAGGAAAAACAGCTAAGGAGACCTTCTGCATTGACCTCTGACTTGTGCATTTCCTAGAGATATCTAGCTTTCCTCTGTTGGCAACAGAATGCTTTAGTAGATGGACCAGTCTAGCCAGGCAGATCTTACCTTCCTATGATTCACATAGGTTACTGGTTACTACAAAGGGTCTTGCAGACTGAGAAACAAACAGGAACCTTGACTTTCTCAATGACATCTCAAAATGTTAGAAGGCTTAGTTTCATTATGATCCCTGCTGAGTGATTCCATCAACTGGAAAAGCTTCAAACATTCCCTTTCAGTCCACACATCTCAGGCTTTGCAACCCAGTGTTCAAACACTTGTTTCTTTTCATGATTTCTGTGCTGGCTTTCAGATTCCAGCTGCCCAGCTACTTAACACAATGAAAATAAACAGTAATGTACATATAGAAATCAACATCACACATCCTGAGCTGTCCATGCATCATACCTTCATTGTCCTGGACTGTGAAGTTTGGGTTAACAGCAGCTAAGCTGAAGAAAAATTTTTGTCCTCCAAGGGGATCATCTTTATCAACTGCACTTATGGTTTGTATTAGCTACAGAGAGGGACAAAGAAAAACCAGCTGACATTTGTGGCATGATTATCTCATTGCTCCGAGAGATGTGAGTGATCTCAAGGGCAATTGCAAAATTTATTCCTGTGTTCATAGTGACACACATCGTCTCCAGTGAACAACAAGGAGATGCCAAATGGACACAATATCATTTATGGTGAGGTGTTTCGTCTTCCGTATTTCACCAAGATGCTATAGTCAGCCATGGTCAGGCCCAGGCATCAAAACTTCCTCCAGAAGTTTTCCGTTCGGCCCGTCGCTAGAGACAACCCACCTCCATATGCATACTGTTCAGTACCTCAGGTGCTTGCTTGCAAACTGAGGCAGAGGCAAGGAGCTTTCTAGCATACATGCATGCCCCTCTTCCACACTCTGAAGAGCAAGAGGAATTTGAGCCACTCTCAGCTCACTCACATGTTGTACCTCAGTTCCTCCTGTGCACAAGATAAGACAGTGGGGATTTGTAGGGAGCGGCTGAGGCGATGAAAGGGCTCTGGTTGCCCAAGCCTCTGCTGCTTTCATACCAGCCTCATGCAGACATAATGCTAGACCAGCCTTCTCCAGTATGGTGCCATCCAGTTGCTTCGGAATCCAACTATCATCAGGATGACCAATATGCCATCTAGTGTGGTTCTAAGGCACCAAATGTGGTGAGAGAAGTGATGTAAAGACATAAAAAGCTGAGCTTTGCTCTGGCTGCTGTTCCTCCACAGCTTATTCTCTCTCCCACCTACTAGAGACTTACTAGAGAGTACACCTACTAGAGAGGTCATACGAGCATAAATTTCATAGGAGGTTCATTTTGCATTCAGAGGATCCAGAGAATCCACTATACATTAGTGGATTAAAGATTTAAAGATTAAAGATTAAAAAGAGGAAACATTCACCTTTCTCCTCTATATATACTTTAAAATTGTATATGTTATGGACACTTAAGCAAAATTTCTGTATCCAGTATTCCAATACTTTGTGGACATTTGTACAGGAAGTGCCACACTAAAATCCGTTTTTGTCATTAAATTAAACGCTTTCCCAAAATGGCCTAGTAGAGCAATCCTATGCATATCTACTTAGAAGTAAGTCCCATGAAGTCCACTGGAACTCACTCCCTGGTAAGTGGATATAGGATTGCAGCCTATCTTGATGTACAGAGGGAAATGAGAGGGGATGCAGAACTATTCTACCAGACCTGCTGCAAGAGTCTGTTCCCTCCCCTCCCCTCCCTTTCCCATACATTTTTTTTTCTCCTGTGCCACATCTTTTTTAGTTTGTAAACCTTCAGGCAAAGGCTGATCTCTTAAATGTAAGCTGCTTAGGGATCCTTTTTGGCTGAGTAATGGCACAAAAAATAATAATTAGGAATAAAGAATGTGCTCCTTTGTTTTGGAAATTTCCTGTACTCAGTGGGTTTCCCTGTATGTGCATCAAGGACCACTTGCACTTATAACTTTAATTTCAGGCAAATTCTGTTTCTGTGTTAATAATAAATGACTGTGGCACTAATTTCAAAGATTTATTTACTTTTGCTTTTTAAAAAAATGTGATTCAATGACAGAAATACCATTATTTAAAAAATAACTACAACAGATACTCTTAAATGCAATTTAATCATGAATCTACTGGAAGGCAGGCCTTTCAGCATTGCTGTGCATCTTGCCTCCTGCTCCTGCTTACCCTGATGCTTGAAACAGCCTTAACATGTTTGTCGAGCAGAGTTTACAACTTCAAAACTAAATACGGGGCAACCAAAATGTGTTTCCAGTGCAAACTGGAAAAAAATCAGGTTGGAAACCAGAAGGAAAGAGGAAAGGATCAGCTCCCAACATTGCTACTATATCACATTGCTCCATCTTGACAGCTTTTGGTGATAGCAGTGCTTCTTCTCCTAACTCTGCCTCATGTTCTTTTGGCAAGTTGGGGATAGAGGGACCAGAAAGGTGTTTGCTCATAGCCATGGACAGGAAACCCATGCCAGGTTTTTCAGGTCTCAATGTCCCCTCTTCTGTGAGTCTCACCGTCCTTTCTACCAGCTGGTGTTGCTTCTCGTCCTCTTCCACATGAGTGGTAGCACTTCAACTCGTGGCAGGTAGAGAACAGGTGAGCACATTGGCAGTGGAACCTGTTGCTCCACCTCCTCACCACAACTGTTACTTGGGTCAGAACCAGGGACAGGTGAACAAACAGCTTGCAATCTTTAAGAGGGAGAGCATCTCCAGGAGGCTTTTGGCAGCATGCCCTCGCTGGGTGATGCTAAGCTCTGTGTACCTTTACCATGACCCCTGCAGAAAACTCAGGGCAGTAGCAGGAGATCCATCAACTTCCCTTCTCTCCCTGAGGAATTTGAGGTTACAATTCTGTTGAAAGACCTTTAGCTCAGCCTTAGATAACAGCACCCTCTATACAGTGATACAGCTCCAAATTGTATTTATTTTTAATGTATTCATTGTATTTGGAGCTCACCTTTCTCTTCTGCAAGGAACCCCAAGCAGCTTACAGAATCCTTCCCCTTTTCTCGATTTCATCCTCACAATAATTCTGTCCCTCAGTGAGATTGGTGGTTGAAGGGAGACCAGAACATGGATGCCCCCCGACCCCGTCCCAGTCCAGCACTCCAAACACAAGGCCACATTGGCTGTAAAGCTTTCATTGGGCTACCCTCTGCCCCCACACTGACACAGGACATGCAAATGCAACCCCACATTATTCTGCCTGCTGATTCTTTAAAAAAAGGGCTGCAGAAAATTATGATGGAATTTCATGGGTCATCTCCTATTTTTGCTAATAAAGGGCTGGTGTTTTACCTTCTCTCCATTTGTTTACTCAGAATTAACCTGCTAAACTGAATTTTCTCCCTTTGGAGGTGAAATATTTACTTGGGGAAATGGGCTATTCTGAATAGGAAACAAGAGTGAAAGGGTTAATCTGCCCCATGTTTCCAACCTGCTTCTCCCAACCTGAAGCTTGCCCTGTACAGAAGCTTCTGTTCTCAGAGACACAACAATAGTTCCATCAAGCCCTAATAGTTGGTAGGGCTTTGTGACTCTTGGTGGCATAATACTGTCACAGTGATCAAAGTACAGTTCATAGCATCTCTTAAAGAGGTAAAGCAAAACAAATGTTTGCCCTTCTGATACTGAGAACTTCTGTGCTTTTGTGTGATTTGCTTATAGAAATCCTTTTGAGATAAAACTGACATTTGCATAAAAATAGAACACTGACTGTGACATTTTGGGACCCCAACTGTGTCAAACTCAGAGTACAATCTCTTCTGCAGAAAAAGGTTTTTTAAAAAGAAAATTAAATTTGATTACAAATTACCATTTGTAACATCATGTCTTTCTTTCCATAAAGGCAGCACTGAATGCAATGAAGAGATTGTCTTTTAAGAGGTATTGGATGAAACAAACACAGATAAATGTTGTGGGAAGGGAGGGGGAAAGACTGAAGTCTTAATTTCAAAGTTCCCTTTGTAGATCTACAGAAAGCCATTTTGTAATTAACATGTTGATGTAGCTGGGAAGCACAGAAGCTGCGCAAGTCTTCTGATTTGCTGGCAGCCATTTCCACCCTTCTGATGTTGCATTTCCCAAGCCGCTCTCACAAGTCATCTTTCCCTCTTAAGAGACATACAGTTGTAAACAAATGACTTTGGTGTCTGTTCCATAATAAAAACAAACAAACAGCATTTGCATAAATGACTTACTTGGCCAGCTCTTGCATTTTCACACACAAATGTATCATAGAACACTGCAAACTGTGGCGCATTGTCGTTCACATCCAAGATTCGGACATAAACGGAAACACGAGTCATCTCTTTGGGGTTGTCTGTCAAAATAGTTGAAATCAGCTGTCTCATGTAAAAACGGGTTTCCTTTTTTCTATACCACTGGAGCTAACAAGGCCCAGCTATCACATATGCTGTTCCTTTCTTGTAAAGCAAACCAGCTTCATCAAATAAATTTCTGCCAAATACGGAAAAGTTTGGTTTCTGCAACCAATCCATAGAAATTGTGAGGGGTATATCTAGGTGGACCAAGACCATATCAGCAATGCTTTTTCAGAGGAAGTTTAGGCCTTAGTGGTCAATTCAGCCCTCATCTTTAGTCCCACTTCTGACGGTGCAACACATAGTGCTCTATCAAATGCTCTAGTAACACTGCAGATCTTAGCCACAACCTAACCACCATTTTCTCTCTACTTCACAGGCACAGTGCTGGCATGGGAAGCAGAGACAATGCGAACTTCTCTGGTATGGCTCTGATCTTCACTGCTGTGATGAAACACACACTGCTCTTGCTTCTTGATCTTAAACCAAAGTCCTTCACTGTAAGGCTCAAGGGCCACTGGTGGGGGCCAGTCACCTCAAGTGCAACTATTCTCTTCCAACGAATTTTCAGTAGCTGATCACACCCAGTCCTGTGAAAATCCTCATACTTGTGATAGGGCTGATTTGCACTCCTTTATGTATTAATATTTATCAAGAAGTGTAACATACCAGAAATAAATACCAACCCATATTAAATAAAATAGAGATTGTCATAGTATCTTACTATTGAATTTGCCATTTTTGACTAAGGAAGTGATTGACTAGTTGATAATCTTCTCCAATTTATAAGATCTTGATTAAGTTAATGGTTAAATTAGGAAACCCAGACTTAAAACCTATACTTAAAAGTATTCTGAGATAAGTGGAAGGCTCTTTCATTTTCAATGAACAATTGAAGACAGATTGCTTGCTGTCATTAAGTCAGTAATTATTTCCACGTCTTCCTTTGCTACAGTAGTTTAGGCCTAAGTGGTGAACAGTAGTTTACACAGGTAACACTTAACTGTGATCATTTGGGATCTTAAATTCCATAATTTCCTCCTTGTTGTGGATTTATTGGGTCCAGAATGGCTTTCTCTTTAGGTATTTTGGGTATGATATACTGAGAACTCTCATCATTAGCCCTGTCAAAGTGCCTCTGAGCTGTTCAAGAGCACAACCATGAGAATTCCCCTTTTCATTTGTACCTCTGCAGAAGAACTTCCACAATGATTGCACTTTGCAAAAATAGCCATTTTATGTGTATTGTAGTTATACTCACTAGTGACATAGATTTGTCTTACCACTTCTATACTCCCACTTCACAATGATTGGATTTATAGGCACATAATTCTGTTGAACCTTTTTGCAGTGGTAGGAATGGAGATAAATGAAGCTCTATAATTGCATGAAGTTAGGCAATAACTAATGGAAGAAGTGATTTCTATTTACTAATTGCCTCCTTTTTATGAAAGAGTTGAATCAGAATTCTGCAGAAACGGTCAGGATTGGTTTTTTAATTGTATAACACGAGAAGAGGCATGCTGGATCAGAACAAGGGTTCAATTAATCCAGCATTCTGTTGGCATGGTGGCCAACCCATTGCCCATGGGATCTTATGAGCAGAACATGAATCCAATAGCACGCAGAAGGCCAAGTTCCACAGAAACTTCTATATTGCCTAAGACTCTGGGGGAGGCATAAAGCCATCAGGACTAGTAACCACTGATAATACTCTCCATGCATTTGTCCAATTCCCTTTTAAGCTGTGCAAATTGGAAGCCATCTTGAGGAAATGGCTATCATAGTTTAATTGCACTGTGTGAAGAACTACTTCCTTTTATCTGTCCTATATCTCCTGTCAAGTAGCTTTATGGAACACCATTGGTTTCTAATATTTTGAGAAAGGGAGAAAAACAAGTCCAACAAAGCAATGTCCGTGGGATCACCTCCACCCACATGTTTATTGGAACTCTCAAAGGACTCTAAAAGATTAGTGAGACAGGACTACCATTGAGGAAGCCATGTTGTTTCTTTCTCAGCAGGACTTGCCCTTTTATATGTTACTATATGCTTATGAATTGTACCCAGAACAAATATTCAGCTAACATTTCTGTAAATTTCTGTTTTACATTGGCCATTGTCCAGTTCTCTGGTACAGACACTGGTCTTAGGGACATGTTGCACATCTTTGTGAAAAAGTTCAGCATTTTTTTAACAAGCTCTAGGATGGATACCATCAGGGCTTCATTATGTAGAAACTTTCAGTTTGTCAATAAGACAGAGAATTTCATATTTTGTCATTACTGTCCTCCTCAGTTCCTCAGACTCACTTCTTGAAAACATCAGTTTATGCTACAGACATTTGTCTTCTATTTTCTGCAGTGAAGACAGATGAAAATACTTCATTCAGATTTTCTTTATTCTCCCTTAGTACTCCTTAATTACCTTCTAATATAATTGTCCAACTTCCTCTAAGCTGGTTTCTTGCTTCTGATGTATTTATAGAATCATTTAATGCTGGACTTGATGTTATTAGAAATATGGTCCTTGAAATCCTTTGTGTGTGCATCTACCTCGTGCAAACTTTTGCTCCCTTTTGTTCCCCTTGTTTGGGCAAGACTTCCATTTTCTGATGGAAGATTTCTTCTCCCTACAAGTTTTCTTGACACATCTTGTTAACCTAGCTATTGACCACCAGGACTTGGTTCTACTTTTCATAACGTATGCATTCTAGTTTGGGTTCTAATATTGAGGTTTTGAGTAATCTACAAGGGATTTTAAGTCTAATAACTTCATCTTTTAAAATCTTTTTTTACCAATTCCCTCATTTAGAGAAGTTGCTCTTTTAAAGTCAAATGTGACTGTGTGGGACTTCTCTGGGAAACTTTCAGTTAAATGTGAATTAAATCTGATAGCACTGTAGTCATTTTTCCCCTCTTGTTCAAAAACATTCATGTGCCATACTAAATTTTGGGCATCCCCACCTAAGATTAAATTCAGATTGTCTCTCCTCTGATTGGTTCCATGACAGCATTTGTTTGAGATAGTGAGAAACATAACCTCTTGAGAACAACTGGCCTTTGTCCAGTCAGTCTGGGGTAATTGAAGCTACTTATTATTAAAATACCTGCTCATTTTGAGGCCTCCCTGGTTGCATTTTTCATATCAGATCACCCAGAGTATTCTGTTTTGGAGGATGATAGCATGTTCTTAGGACTAGACTGGTTTTGGGGCTAGGTATTGTCACACATAGCACTTGCTCAGAGGAGTCTGTGCCTGTCCTGTTTTTGAGTCTGCTGGACTCTATATCTATCTCAATATAAGCAAAGATGCAGGAATAAACAGGACTTCATGCATGTGCCCCTGTTAGATGACTGGCAGCTGCAGCAATTAACTGTTTGATCAGAAGAAAACAGTGAGTTGGAGACTACTAACATAGAGCTCTAGCCAGTTCCCATTTACTGAGTCCATCCTTGGTCCATCTAGTTCAGTCTGGACCTAATCGATGCTATTTCTGATTGTCTATGGTAGCCTCCTCTAACATGGTTCCTTCCAATTGGCTTGGCACACAACTTCCATCAGTTCCAGTCAATATGCCTGATATTCAGGGAGGGTGAACATTATAGGTCAAAACACCTGGAGGGACCTAGAATCAGTAAGGCTGGTTTGCATGTATCCATCCCAACAAGTAGAATGGACTGGGAATTGTATGGAGAGCATATAATATGGACAGCAATTCTTCATCCAATATCATCCAGTGTTCAGAAGCTTGCTTTCCTTGCTGGATGAGAATAACTCAGATCAAAAGAATTTTCTACTGCTAAAATATCCCCCAACACACACACACACAGACCCAAAGGAAAAACACAAAGAGAAATAAAATTTGACTTACTGATCTCAGCTGCTATCACACTAAGATTATGCCACTGAGATATTTCCCGGTCTAGCATTTTGGAAGTATAAATAGATCCATTTCCAGAATGTATGTTGAAGATTCTGTCAAGGTCAGTGTGACGGTCCAAAGAAAACCTAAAGGTGACCAAATAGAGAAGAAATTGCATATTGGCATATATGCTAATTCACATATGTTATTTTCATCTTCTTTGCATCCTGGTTCTGCATAAAGATATATGTTACATTTATAGAGTGACAGAATGGAGTTGGAATCACTCTCACCTCATTTTATTCAAATCTACCTTTCCTAAACTCTTCAGAAATCAGTGAGAGGAAACCAGTCATGAACGTCCTTCTTCTCCAGTACTTCCTGAAGCCATTTTGCATAAGAGATCACAGAGTCAAGGAAGCTGTAGCAACACTTCCAAACCGCCCATCAAATATGGAGCATTTCTACTATGAAGAATGAAGCAGCCACATGTGCGGAGATGCAAAGGTTGAGGAAAGATTTTTGGTGACCAGCTTATCGGGTCTGTGAGTCTTTTGCTGAAACAGCATTCAGTACATTAGTAAGTTCATATGTAGGACTTGGCAATGCTGCGCTCCATGGAGGAATGGAGGGGTGAAGAACCTCCACTTCAATGTTATCCTGCCAAAATTAGCCTGAGGTTCATCTCTTTCCATTCCATGGTGTCAAGGGTGATGTGATATCACAAATGCTGCAAGTTTTCCCATGCACTGCTTCGTAGATGGCCAGTTGCAAAGGAAGAGCTGCTCATGGAAGGATGACTTGCCCAAAGCAGTCCAATATATTGGGAAACAGAGGACTAAACAAAGGAATGTGAGAGCTTCATGTTTGATCTGATACAAGATGTGTAACTGGAGTTGCACTGTATGCATGCTTTTATCACTGAGCTTTTTTCCCCCAAGATAACTTCTAACAACACACACCCTGGAGAAAATAGCTGCATGCAAAAAGCCTCTTTTGTGCTTTCTATCTGAGCACTGAAGTGTGTTTAGGCAAAAAGTAATTACACTATTTGCTGATAGAGAAAAGCCATGTGCAAGTTTGTGTGTGAAAGGCTTGTGTGTTATAAATATACATACTCATTATTGCAGAGAATTGATATTTAATTCCTGCTTTTTATATTAACAGGTTTGTTGCATCAAGTGTCTTTCTGCACTCAGGCACAAGATAGCTCAAGCAGAACCGTAATAAGCAACTACTGTGCTTTAATAGGCAAAAAGCAACTTTTGATTCCTTCTGAGCTCAATCCAGAAAAATATAGTCATTTACCTTAATTTGCCCTATTATCTCCATAGGTTCAAACTATTTAATTAGAAGGAGTAATGTCACCCTGCTGCTCCTACTTCAAACCCCAGATAATATTATTCTAAACTGAACAAACTGCAGGGACAGTTCTTTCTCCCACTATAGTCAATAGTTTTCACTTACCCTTCACCTACAATTTATTTCACATAGAGCAGGAGAACTGACACAAAAGCCAGATGCTAAGCTGGCTCCATTTGAAAAATGCAGTGACAAAAGCACCCCTGTGTTGATACATTTTCAAATATATATTAGAAAATTTGGCATCTTTCAAATGCATCTTGAAAAACCACCTGTTCCCCAGGCTTTCCCTGCTCCTAATTAAGTTAACCACGCTGTTCCATTTTACTGCTGTTGTACTGCTCTGTGTTATATTACTATCATCATCATCATTATTATACTGTTTTTAAAACTGAGTTTTAAATTATATTTAAATTAAAAATAGTATGTTAATATTTATTTAGAAATTGCTTAGGGATTTTATCATACATAGTGGCACAGAAATTGTACAATAAAATAAATAATATATTTTATTCAATAAAGGAACACCTATAACTCTAGTATACACACCAGATGGATGTAATGCTTCTAAACAATACTGTTTTTCCTCCCTCCCTCCTTAATCTGGGGTATATCCAAGAGAAAGAAGCCCTAGCAACCTTGCTGGAATAGCACCTCTCTCCTTGAAGTATCTTTGTTCCTATCCATGTGGCCTCAAATTATCTAATACAGGCACTCTGTATTCAGCATTTAACTTTTCATGCACATGCACCTTGGAAAAGGTTTATGGATCTTATTATTTTATTTCATGGTAAATTCAAAACAGACATGGGTTAGGTATTCTGGTTTCATAGTATTCTTGTTTTATTTAACGGCTAGAACCTCTACTATCCAGAGAAGTTGTGATACTATGAGACATGTTGATAGCATTTATTAAAATAGGAATAAAATGGATTTGAGTGATTTTCTTGTTTTCCTATTCTTCCTAAGGGAACTATAATAGCTCCATGAAAACATTTAAAAGTGAAGAAAGTCATCTTCTGAATCAGAGGTGGATAAAATTCAGACAGGGCTCTGTATATTTCTAGGGAATTTGCAGAGGATCAACAAGTGTCTTCAACTTCCAGTTGTTCAATCATCTCTTCTTCACAGCTCTAAATCAGACTGTAAGATTAGATTCTACTGCAATAGTTTAGATTTGCGTTCATGCATGTCATCCCAGTGTTTGTCTCTTGGGGTGTAGCAGTGAATTGACCCTACACACTGAGGCACTGCTTTGCATCTGGCTCTAGTTGAGAGATTGTTGGGTTCTTTCAGGGTCAAAAAAGTAGGTGCACAAAGTCTGCTATTCTCTGTTATGGATGAAACCTGTCCAGTTCTTTTTCCAGGATTTTTTGGTCAAACTTTTGTACTATCATCTATTCTTGCATTTATTAACTGTTGTTCAAACATTCTTTGTCATTCTATGGAATCCTTAGACAATTTGGGCAGATGTTAACAGGACAACTATCATTAATGAGATCGCCATATAAAGTGAACAACAGAAGAGACAAGATAAGAGTTTATGCCATTATAGACTCCTAAGGCTTGGCAGATCCAATTAACCTTCATTTTCAGCTCATAGTTGGCTTATGCTATTGTCAAATGAGAATATAATAAATCAACCATGCTAAAATAATATCATTAATTCTTAGCTGCATAACTATCACATGGACAGTGGAGGAGGAGAAACTAACAAACATGCTTGTAAATACAAACAGAAGCCATAGAACTGAACCAAAGATCCATTCACTTTTACCTTAATATTTGATTATTCCTTAAACTTTCACAGAACATTTATATCTGTACTGTCAAATGCTATTTAATATTTGATTTCAGTAATGAAAACAATATATTCCAGTATTTGATAAGTGCATGTCATGGTATTTTAGCTTTAGAGCAGATTTGTAGATGTCATGCCATAATTTTTATTATTAGACTGCCCTTGCTAGTTGGCATGCCATAAAATTCATTTTTGGCTGCATTTGATGACAGCTTTTGACATGTCATATCTGATGTCTGCTGAAACCAAGAATGTGCCAAATAGCCAAAGTTCTAATGCAGAGTTAATGATGTACATCTGATTTCAAAGTTTGTATTCAGAGTTGAAGAACTGGCAATGTTATTGTATTTGTGAATATCTTTTTCAACTCTACCAGCTCTTCCCTTGTGCATCAATTAAAATGGACCACTGTGGGCCAAAACTGGGAGGCAAAGTACATGTCACACTAATTGTATAGCATGTAACTGATGAGTTGTTCTTTTCTTTACATTTGCATAGTGTACATGTTTCTTACTCATATTACAACTCTAACTTTCCTTTTGGGGATAATTAACCCTTTCCTCCTCTGTCTGTCTGTTTTCCCTGACAACCCCCACCATCGGGCAGCATTTAAAAAATGGCATTAATACGGGTTGTTTTCTTTTTAAACCCCTATCCCTTGGAAGAATTTTAAGGAGGAAATGGTAGTAAAGGAGTTTAATCTTTCCTTCCCAGGGCACAATACTACCAATATAAAGTCGGATCATGCACATTCAAATTACATCAAGAGAGAAAGAAGCTTCAGCTACAAGCTAGATGATCAGTGTAATACATTTGTATCTAAATGTTTACATCTGTCAGTGCTAACCTATGCACGTGGATGAAATCAGTGTCCTTTTTATTACTAAAATGAAAGGTACCAAGTCACAGTCTTGCCTTACAATACTGTACTCTGACCTGATTGCCTCAAGTGAGCCTCAGGCAGTCTATAATTGGTAGAAAATTCCAGTGGGGCAGGTGACTCCTATGTCAGAGCTGAGACCCAGGTTCAGAATCATGGTAGCACTTTTACTGTGCAGTCTGAAACCCAGAACTGGTACACTGCCCCACATTTAGAGGTGCCATCAGCCTCCATTGACACAATCTCAGTCAGTATATGAACAAAACAATCCCGTTCTCTTTTACTGTTTGATATGTTCCAGAATGGAAGCTGGTTAGCCTTACCTCAAATTCAAGTTTTAATATGATTCCCTTCCATCTCAGTACTTTAAATATACTGTTTTCTCTGTTTCACCAGCCAGAGCAAAAGTCTCAACTGAAGAAATTAGACAGAGAGATCAATCCCTTGATGTTCTTGGCCAAAGTTTTTGGTTCTGGCCTTTACCTGATAGGTCCTGCAGCAGAATCTGGATCATGGGCCATCACAGTACCTATAATTGTTCCCACCTCGATATCTTCATGAATCTCAAAAAGGTATGAGGATCTGCTGAATATGGGAGGTTCATCCACATCCTCTACAGATATTTTCACAGT